ACTATTTCTATGACAACATAAACGAAAGGTGGCAAAGGAAGCATATTCTCAGCTTCTTTGCATGGGGGCTCTCTGCTACCTCATTCCCTAAAACAGCTACATCTGAGAGCCGGGAGAAATTTCTGTGTTGACTGCGTCACAAAGCATTAGTTATTTGGCAAACCAGTTAAGGTCTGTGCAACAGATCAAAAGTAATGCAAAAAGAGTCTGTTTTCAGAAGGACTTGGGTAGAAGCAATATATTCAGATGTTTAGGGCCAGGTTATTTTAAAAAATGTCAATCTCACCTAGTACTGAGATTTGGAACAGGGAGCCCTGTCAGCAGCTCTGGCCACATCCGTGGGACACAGAAATGGGAGAGAACTTCTGAGTCCCAGATAACTTATGCACCTATAAAAAACTAAGCACCAGGTACTGAACCTTCATACTAAAAACACTTCTTGACATTTGCTCAAATTTTTCTTTCTGAGGATCACAGTGTTCCTCCATTCACGTAAAGACTAGTCAGATTTCTATCTTGTTGACTAAGCTAGTATGCTCCAAATGTCTGAATATACTCCAGTATAGTCTTATCAAAACATGTGCAGCATAACCATTTAAATATGTTTTGCATGATACAAGTAAAAATCAAAACATTAGCAACTATTTATGAAAGGAACTTTCTTAAGAATAAATTTTCCTGGACAAGTATTACCCTATTTTATATTTTCTTGAGATATTTCTGGAAGAGTAGCCAGCTACTGAGCAGGAAGGAGGTATTTCAGACATCTGCAGTACTGATAAAAGCTCATGTTGCTGACTCCTTTCCCAGTGACAGGCTGAAGCATTGTCACCCCATTAACGAGTGGACAAGAACCGCTCTGATTCCTTGGACACCTTGGTTTATGCTCAAAGCTGTTTGAGAAATTATGGAAATATATAAATGCCAACCTTTCGTCTGTGAGGGAAACTGTGAAGGGAACCAGCTGTGCTATTAGACATTTTCTAAAATGTATGGATAAGCACTTCCTTTCCATTCCCCTTGCTTTTCCCCTTTACTGGCACTGTAGCCTCTTTGAGGCAAACACCTCTGGAGAGTTTCTAAAAGCTTTTCCAAAAAGACTGCGTTCTTTGTATGTTTTCCAGGGCATAAATCAAAAGTTGTTGATCAACAATAACGGCAAAAAAAGGCAGACATGGGTTTTAGTTTGCTTTAAACAACAAAACTCTAAGTGCCTTCTGTTCCCTGTTTGTCTGAAATGTACCTCTTCAAGGGAAAAAAAACTCAACAGAAGTCCCTAGGGTGTGACCAAAGGGGCACTTCACTGAAGTCACTGTACAACACACATCAGATGTGGCAATATCGACCACTTAAGACGTATTGTCCTGTTTTTCAGCTGTGTGAATCATACATTTCCAATCCTCCAGCACACAGGACGTCAACTTCCATTCCCAACTTCACTAATGACACAATTATGAATAAACCAAGGTGAATGGGGTGAGTGTAAAACAGTCAAAACTCTCAAGGCCATGACATAAACCAGGCCGTATACTTCGAACAAGACGTCCCTTAGTACAAGAGTCAGGAAGGGGGGAACAATAAAAGACATGGATCATGGAAATCTGTTTACAGTATTACACTTTGGTCTGAAACATAAGGAGAGTCATTTGCTTTCTAAAGGAAGAACTTTATTAAAAGTGAAAATGAGGATGTGCTAATCAAATGCTATTTTCTATAATTAATTCAAAAGAACAGCAGCTGCCACAAGACTCTCTCCTAACTGTCCTTTAATTAGATTTCTGAACCAAATTCTCTGCAGCCATTTTCTTTCTTTCCTCAAAACCACTTTACAAAACCTTTTACTTAACTAAGAAAAACACCATGAGTTACTTGGTGTATATTTTCTTTGTTAATTTCTTTTTTAAAGTCTTCTCACATTGTCAAAGATTTATTGCCATCTGCTGTGCCAACGTGACCTGCCAGGCATACCACAAGATTTCACAGGGACTTCCACAGAGCAGCATTCACCAGGTCAGAGTTCAGCATCGCGCAGATTCGTACCGAATGACGTACTTACAACAAAGATGCTAAGGATGTGACCCATGTAATGCCGTAGCAATTTGCCTCGCTGACACTTCAAGCACTGATTTCTCTACTTCTCAGAACTACAGTTCTTCCAGGAAAAAAAAAAAAAAAAAAAAAACAAAAACACAGAAAATAAGCCAACCGAACAAAGAGCTATCTGATAATGAGAAAAGGAGAGTGTGACAGCAAGGGACAAGGGAGCAGCTCTGGCACAGTGGCACTCCTGTGCCCAGGTGCACTTGCTGGAAGTGAATCCCAGCAGCCCTTCAGCTGTATCACGTTTACAAATGGCTCTTTCTAAACTAAGTGATTTTCTGCCGATGGCCAGAGTGCGCCAAGCTGATGGGTACCTGAGGAGCTCCTGGGCAGCTGACTTCCTACAGCACAGGGCAGAGGCCACACCAATCATTTATAATTCACATTTTCCTTTACCTGTTGCCACCTTTCACTCAAGAGGAAAAAGGGTAGGAAAAGAGAGGGGCTTCAGAGAGACAAGTGCCAAAGGAAAGGGGAAAGAATACTAGTGAACTGATAGTACTGAAGAGGCAGAGAAGAAAAAGCACAGAGACAAAATGAAGAGCCAGAAAGAAATAACAGCAAAAATGAAGCTACAGAGCAAAACAGAGAAACCTGAAAGGGAAAGAGTAAGGCAGCACCACCAACAGCAGAAAGATTTTCGAATATAATTCACTACTAGAAAAGCAGCATGAAAAGTCGGTTAAAAAATTTCTAGCATTGGTAAGGCTTAACAGGAAGGGAAAACACACATCAGACAGACTCAGGAACATCAAACTAGTACTAGTCTTCCTGGTAGAATAATAAAAAAAGGTGGGAGGAGGGTAGATGAGGGGGAGCTTGATGAGGAAAAAGATGACAGTGACAAATACCACCACCACCCTGGGTAGCTCGGCCCAGCCAGGTGAGCACAGAACAACACGCACCATTACTGGCATTTTTCACCAGAAAAAGCCAAGTACTGAATGAGGCACGAACCTGAGAGCCGTGGCAATGACTGAGGACCCGGCTTCAGCCCTGTACGTTCGTCCTCGACTCAACATCACCTCCCTCTGCACCAAATTTCCAGCATATTTTCACAGCTACTTCTAGGGGTGAGATGAGGTGTTTGATAAACTAATGAGGCTTATTTACCGTAAGAATTCCCACATTTCCCAAATACAAAAGGCTAAAGCAAACAATGTATTACTGCACGCTTTCTGGCACAGACTTGATCCAGTGCAGTAACTGACTGCTAAGTGTAAAAACCAAGCCATTTATCTATATGGTAAATTAATGCTTTGCTTTAGGCATCAACATTTGAAAAGTCCACATGAAATAATCTACTGCACTGTACTGGCAATAAACATACTTTGTTACTACAACCACAATATCAACTACACTTCCCTTCAAATCAGTATCTGAGAAAGAGAGAAATGTAAACGCATAGGACCAAGTCTGAAAGCTTCCCATAGCTTTTCCTAAGAATACTAGTTAGATGATAACTTTCCCAAAATATACTATTCCACATATATCTGCAGCCCATCACACGTACAATATTTCTATCAAAGAGTCACAAAATATCTGCAGACTGAAGCCCAACTCGGCAGTACTGTTATTTGGGAACAGTCTGTTACAGTATTTCTTTGGAGTAGTTGGAAAAGCTTTTTTGCAAATGGTGAATATCCAAAGCGGGAAGTAATATTAAGAACCTCTGGTCTGTCTCCTCACTTCCTTCTCCTTTTCATCCTCCGACTTCAGTCCCATCTGTGCATCTATCACTCAGAGCACAGGTGCAAAACAGACCAAGAATCACCATAAGACGTTTCACCTGCTCTTTATGCCAAGTGCCTGCAGGCAGGCCGTCAGGCCAAGGTTCACACACCATACAGTTACAAATTTTCTCAAACCTGGAATCTCATTGAGACTATCTATCTGACAGCTACACAGCAACTCCTTGTACCCATTTTGACGGAAACACCTCACAGGCATTTAAAAAACTTGCTGCTACACCGACAAAACCTCCATACCGAATACTTTCAAAATATTCTGAGGTCTGCAAAAAGGCATTTTATTTTAGGGTCAAAGAACAGCTGGCATTTCTAACACCAATTGCAGCATGGGCACCTGGCATCGCAGACAGACCCTCAGACTGCGCTGACCACCCGACCCATGGGCTCTGTTCCCAGCACAGGAGCCTCTTTCTCCCTCAAAAGATCAGGGGTACAAGGAGTTATCAGGGGGCAAACTTGCTTCTGCTGGAATCCATAGGGTTTTGTTTGTATGTATTTTATCCGTTCTTAATTAAGTTTAAAACAAATAAAAATACCACAATATGGAACACTGTAAGCCAAAAAGGTGTTTTGACAGTACGTTGTTCTAAACTCTGCTTTCTTGATTTACACCTCTGTTCCTAAGAGTACTCCTATTTATGAGGACTTACCCACACCGGGGGAAAAAAAAAAAAAAAAAAAAAAAAAAAAAACACACCTTCTTTCTACCTGTATGGAACTAACATATTTAGCACCGCTGCACAGAGCGGTCGAGTGCCATTACACCCGTTTAAGAGCCGTGCAAACAAACTCAAGACACTTTCAAGCACGTAAGCAAACCTCGGTGCGCCTTGATAAGCTCTGGCCCGCAGCAGGTTGAACGGGGAGACGCCAGCGAGAGTCTGCGCCGGGGCATCCCACCGGTGCCGCGGTGGGACCCGGCCGTGGGGCCCGGCCGTGGGACCCACCGGCTCCGACACACGCCTGGCCGTGCAGAGGAACGAGCCATCCGTCCGCACAGCCACACGTGTGTTTCTGACCGCGTGTCCGCGCCTTTACACACGCTTTCCGAGCAACGCTCGCTGCCGATGCTTCGGGAGGGCGGGAGGGAGGCGGAGGCGCCGGCCCCTCTCGGCAGCCCCGCTGCCCCCGGCCCGCCGGGACACTCACTGTGGGGATCGCTCTTCTCCCGGACGCCGTCCACCCTGCCGTCGGGGTTGATGCGCAGGAAGAAGCCGCCGTTCTTGCAGTAGAGCCGTTTGGGGTCCTTGAAGTGCCCGGGGGGGAAGGCGCCGCTACCCCCGTCGTCGGGCAGCGCCGGCAGCGTGGTGATGCTCCCCGCCGCCGCCGCCATGCGCCGGGCCCTGGCGGCGCCCCGCCGGCCCGGGCCCCCGCCGCCCCCCGCCGCCAGCCCCGGGCGGCCTCGCCCCCCCCTGCCGCGGCCGTCCAGCCTCGCTTCGCCGCCGCCCTGCCCCGAAGCCCTGCGCGGCCGGCCCCGCTGCGGCCGACGGCCCGGTCCGGTCCGGTCCGGTCCTTGCCCCTCCGCGGGAGCTGCGCAACGGCGCTGCCGGAGGGCGGGCGGGCAGAGCCGAGCGGAGCGGAGCGGAGCGGGGCAGAGCCTCAGCGCGCACGCCGGGGAAGGGCTCCCCGGAGGCACCGGGCTGCCCCCGCCGCCGCCGCCCCGCCCCCGCCCGCCCCGGGGGCCGCTCCCTGCGCCGCGGCCGGCGGGGGAAGCGGTGGCGGAGCGGCACTTGGCGGCCCCGGGGGAACGGGCCGGGCCGGGCCGGGGGGAGCCCGGCCGGAACCGCGGGGCTTCGTTCCCCGAGAGCGGGGCAGAGCTGGGCCGGGCATCGCCGCCCGCCGCCGGTCGTTCCGGCTGCGCTGGGAACGGGATGCAAACAACGTGCGAGCTTCAAGGTCGGACATCTCCTCATGAATCAAGTAACTGGAGAGTTACTTTAAACCAGAGGAAGTTATGTGGCTTCAGTCTTAGATTCAATTGTTTAAATCGCGTGTGGTGACCTGTTAAAGTCTACGTGGCAACCATTTTGCTTCTGTGCGTTTACGGGTGAGAAACTAGTTCTGTTCCCATTCAGCAGCAGCAAACTGATCAACTGGTATCTGCAAAAGGCGACGTGAAAATTCTGCCACCGGCCTTGTAACAACACTACTAGTATTTCTAAAATAAGTAGGTAGTTTACAAAGCATCAAATGCATTTTGTACTTAAGGCTGACAACAAAACAGGATGAAGAGGTTTGTTTCCAAATCCATGGTTTGTGCCCCCAATCTCCTGTCTAGCAGCAGGCTGCTGATGCCTGTACCCGGGGAAGCTCTCCAAAGGCAGCACAAGCTGCCTGGGACAATCCCACCAGGGACAGCTAACGCTCATCTTTCCATTTCACAGAGCCAACATATGGCAAGTCACGCAAATAAATGCCAGAGGACACGCTGTCCAGCGTATGCAATTTGTAATATTCTTTTTGCTAGCATGTATATAAAAGGAGTTTTGCTGCCAGTCAAGTTCCCTTCCCAACTCTTGACTCCTCACAAGCCATAAATCGTAATTCTTTACCAGACTCAGTGACAATGCCGCTGCTCCCTCGCTCCAGGGGCTGAATCACGACGAACACAACAGGCAGAACAGGGCCTGGCCTGGCCCAGGGCAGGCGCAGGTTCACCCCTGCACCCCTTCCCAGCGCCACGGCCAAGTGTCACACACGCCTGACATACTTCTCTACGCACGGGGATTCCAGCCCCACCGCTCATGAGCTTCCCCAACCCTCACACATTCTCCAGCCTCTCACCACCCGGCCACTTATGACACTTTCTCCTATTTCTCCTGGAAATCCCACTGTTACCGCTGTACCTGAGAGTTTTGGACAGTCGCAGCCAACGGGTAAGACCCTCTTCATTTCCTTTTGCTATTCTTCTGCAACAGAAGCTGCATTCAGGGTGTTTTGTGTCCTTGCACCATGGAGTCTTCCAAAGTCCTTGCTGCTTTCTTAGAAGGTAGATGAAGGGAAGATGAAGGCAGATTCAGGAAGATAAAGGGAACAGGTGAAAATGTCATTCTTGAACCCATAAGAAGTTTATTTTAAAAACAAACTAGCCAAAAAGAAAAGGGAAAAAAAAAAACCAAAAACAAAAACACCCACATACGCACCAAAAACCCAAAAAGCTTTTCTGAATACTAAACGTCTGTAGTTTCACTCAACCATTTCTGTAAGTCTGTCTTCCCCTACACACACAGCCAGCCGTTCACAGCTCTCACATCTCAAACCCTGAGCGCTGCCCTGGGAAATTGCGTTTCAGCACCTCACAGGCCAGCGCTCCATCTTCTGGGAAGAGGGATACAGCCGGCAGGGCAGGAGCAAGCCCCTGCACCCCGGGAGCACCCCGCACAAGTGCAGCCTTGGCCGGCTGGAAGCCCTGTCACAGAGCTGTCTGCAGCTTAAGCACCATGTTTCACTGGATGGGGCCCTGATATTTTTCAGTCTTCTGAGCCCTGGCCCCCACGATGGGGCCCAACCCAGTGGTGGCAGGGTAGGTAAGGTAATCAGCTCAAAGTCCGTATCAAATGATCCTTTAAAAAACTTGTGCAGTGCTAGGTGGCTACCAGTAAAATTATGGGACTTGAGAGCTCTTTTAAAACCTTGTCATTGGGGCTTGTATCTGTGGGGCCTAAAAATAAAAACCAACAGAGCTAAAATGGAAGATCCCTAAACTATCTGCACTCACCTCAAGATCTGCCTTTTTTTTTAATTATATTTTCCCTTCTCTTCTTCAAATGGAAAATATACCAGTTTTTATTTTCTCCATTCTGCTTTCTTCTGCACGCTAACCTCTTAATATGGTCATTAATATTTCTCTTAACATTGACTAAAGCAATTTTGGCAGTAGCATTTTCCTTTCCTGGGGCCTCGACCACATTATCCCTATCACCACCATCCCTCAATTCAGGTCTTGTGCATGATTACACCCATGCAGCCACTTCCCCTTCACCCAAACCATTAATTATCTCTGCTTCCAACCCTTTTCATAAGCCTTCTCTTGGCCTGCATAAAACGTATTCCATGTTAAAATGCCTTAAACATACCTTCTTTCTACTTCAATAATAAATCTTGGAGACCTATTCCCTAAGCCATTCCATTTATCTAAATTACCTATCTTTTTGCATTTGTCTTGCATTGTTTTGTAACCAGCTAGATTGTTTAATAGAATCACAGAATATCTCAAGTTGGAAGGGACCCATAAGGATCACTGAGTCCAACTCCCTTTTCCTCACAGGAACAGCTTACCTCTTAGGAGAGAAAAATCTGTTTTATCCAGTGCTGCTCTCATACTTAGGGATCATACTGAACACGAGGCACTTTCTAAACAAGACAGACACTTAATTCCAACAGTAGATAACTGTGGACCATCTGTATGTTCAAACATTGCCTTTATTCAATATATAATGCTTGAATTTCTAGATACCCTCAGGAGCATACTCGGTACATCTGGGGAAAAAAAAAAAATACAAAACCAAAAAAACAAGAACACCAAACCCAAACCTAAATTATATTGTTAATCTGGTTCCAAAAAAAAACTGGAAAAATGCCAGGGTAATTTTGTAGATATTTCAAATTAGGAGTAACAAACTCTATCAACTCCATCAGTTTTTAATCCAAAGTGCAAGAATCCAGCCAACAACCTTCCCAGGCTTTCCAGCAGTTACTACTACAAATCCTGCCATACAACCACCCCAGAAAATTTCAATCCTCTTTCATAGAAGTTGCTTTTAGAGGGGTTTCAGCCATATGTCCTTGACAGTTTGTTAGAACTATGTCTCCACAGTGTGTTTAGTGACAAAGGTACCATGAAGATGGTATTTGAAAAGCATGCTAAATTCATCTGCAGAAGACCCGATTTACTAAAAAATAAAAACAAAAAAAGCCCTTGCTTTTGAAAAGCAATTAAAACTACAGGAAAGCAAAGACACAGGAACACCTCAGCTCACTGATCTTCCCACCATTAAGACTTATCAGCAGGTGGTTTGCATCTCTACAGCAGCAGGAAATGCTTCTGACTCTCAGAAATCTAACATTACCCCCAGGCCTCCAGTCCGTCACAGCACTTCTGGATTCTCTGGGTTTCTTGGCTTCCTAATCCCTCTCTTTGGTGCATATCCAAGTAACGATTAGCCAAAAAGAGATGGATAAGCTGTGTCTCTTCTGAAGTTTTTCCTGTGTTGTCTAGCACTCAGCTAGCAGTGGAAAAAAACATCCCTCTTGCTTTACCAGCACGTACCCAAGCTGAATGCCTCCCACTCAGATGTTCACTTGTCAAAGGCAACGTCCTCTGCAGAGTTCAAAACTCGTGGCCAAATCTTCTGTAAGCGTCTTTGACTTCAGTGTTACGCTAGCACACCGTCTGGCCCTCGGTTTACGGGAACACAGGAGCTGCCAGGCAGCGGGTAACACCCCACTGGGGAGTGCCACGGCTTGGTGGGAGCAGGGAGCAGCCTCCACATTGCCTGGCCTCACGCAGTTAGGGTAAGCCTCATGCTCTCCAAATCATCAATATGAATCAATGTCATACCACACACCCTCTCCTGAATCTTAAGAATGCAGTGATAAGAAACCTTATATACAGCCAAGATTTAGCTAGACTTCTCTGACAGTGGGTTGCAGTTCTTCTAATTCAGTTTTACTAGGTTAATCCTTAGCATTAAGGAAGGCTCTTTCTTCCTCCAAATAACCCCGCGGGAAGATGGGCTTGCAAAGTGACCTGAAAGTAATTTGTAGTTCTGGTATTTTGTGAAGACCAGATTTGTACTATGATTAGAAAGGAGAAAGAGCGTTCTCTCTCTCTCTCTCTCTCTCTTTTTCTTCTAACTTTCTGGATGTTACAATTCTCTGCTCCAGATGCGTCCCCCATCTTAGAGAAATAAATCATAAAATAGACATGATGTAGATGGCCCTTGAATAAAGCCCTTAAATAAACCTCAGTGCTCCCTCCAGTTGGAAGGTAACCTTAATGTGAGAGAGCGGCTTTCGTGCAGGCAGAGCAGGCAGCCATCTGGGTAGATGAAATACGGTAGGTGTCTTAATCTTTTAGTGAATTATTTATGTTTGAAATAACACTTCTGAGAAAAAAATACTGCTTAACTTTAAATCTATTTCTTTCCTTCAAAGACTGAGCACGAGTTTAAGAATTCAGTAGCAATTTATTCCCCAGAATTCTTGGCTCTTTCACCCTCAACAGCTGATATTTATATTCCGGATCAATATTCATATGCGCATGCAGGAGCTTAAATGAATGTTTCAGCTGCTTTGTATGATGGAAGCATCAGTCACAAATCTATCTATAAGAGACTGAATTTTTCTTTAAATATTAGTTGCCATAGAAAGCAGTCTCATTTTTTGCTCACCAACTTTTGTAAGTGCAGTTTATGAGATAAAATTTCTCTATGTTAAGTATATATGCATATGATTAAGTGCCTGAGAAAGTCTTCTTGGATGGCCACTTTTTTAAAAAAATCTGTAACAGCTTTCATTTACCTTTCTGATGACTTTATGACACTTCCTCAAGATTTATTTTTTTAAAAACAAAAGCTTATTTCTTCCCTCTTCATCTTTTTTTCTGGTACAAATAG